GATGAGCCATTTGTCGTCCCAGGGCATGCGTGTTCCCAGTCCATATGTACGCGAACAGGCATGCTCGCGAAGCCAATCCAGAGTAGCATCCATATTGTTGCGCGCCTATGGTTAAAAAATATATACTTTGTTTAATATAAGTAGACGGTTTTGTTTACAAAAAAGAATAGCACGTGTGGAGACCAACCTCGTCATGAATGTTTAGTTTCGCGAGTGCCACACGAGCCGCAGCCTTCCAAGCTTCATCGCCGTAATCCAAGTACCACTGATTACATAGGCAAACTACCGCGTCATCTCCACTACGCGTAACAACAGGCTTCTCCGGTTCCTGGTAGATCATGGCCTCATTCTGACAACCAAAATTAATACAAAATATGGTAAGATCTGATCGGACCGTTACATCACGCAAAATCCAACGAAAATAACATCAGCTCCTTAAACAACACAATTGCTTCAGGTTAGTGTAGGTAAATAATTTGAATAAGGCAACTTACGGAATCGATTAGCTCCTTCTGAATGAGCTTTTTCGCATTCTGCACCTTCTCACCCTTGTGCTTGCCTACCAACAAGACCTGTGGGAAGGTAGATCGATGGTAAGTGAAACAATAACAAAATATATAAGTTGAGCAATGTAAACAGCGTAACAATCTATGTAACACAACGCCCCTATCACTCATTGTGGCTATTCGGGGGTTTCAGTTTCACATTTCTTGCTACCTTTTTGCTGTATTTCCCATCGGCTACTGACCCGCTCTGATTTAATCACAGGTTGTATACTCAGTTAAATCTGATTTGTCACAAGCTGCTTTTTTTATTTTTCAATTATCGCGCGCTTTTTCTTTGCTGTATATTAGCCCCTTGTAATAAGTTTATCTACTATTTCCCGCTTTTGACTGCTACAATTATATTTTCTCCCCTGCTCCTCCGTAATTCCCCACCCGTTTAACCCCTATTGCCGCCGGTTCCGTACTGCAAAATTCTGGGGTTTTGTGGCTTCCGTGGTGTTACGTATAATAGAAAACGCATTTGAAGTGAAAAACGAAGCCTAAACATCGTCTATTGAACGCAAAAACATCCAAAAATCCCTGCCCCTTGGTTAAAAATGAAACAGAGACCAGGTTGGTGATATATTTTGTGTGCTAGATTCGAGAGGTGCGTGCAGCTGGTCTGATAATGACCACTAAAGCGCCCATCACACGTGTCGATCTGGACTACATGCACACGAAAAAATTACCTATGCCACCTGTAAAAGAGAGCCACTGGTAAGTGAAGGAGTGCTTACTTTCGTGGGTACTTACCCCGTCATAAAAGCCAAGACGGTAGACCTTTTCTTTCGCCTCTTGGAGCTTTTCACGGTCGTTTTGACTTTGTATTTTCATTTGCTCAATCACTGTAGGAGCTGGCAGACGACCAAGGCCTGGCGTTTCAATTATCTCAACCTAGTGGAATGGCAAGTAAGACAGCAAAGCTAGACGACATACCGGTTCGAAAGGAAGGACCATTTCGTCGCTGATGCCATATTTCTCCCGAAAAGCCTAAAAGCAAAACAGCAACAGTACAGTGGGTAGGGGTTTGAATATAAGGAAACACTTGGAGGCGTAATGGTCACTAATCTGACTTAGGTGCTGTCACTAAGCAGACACATGCCAATCTGATAAGGTGATGCTGACAAAGAAAAGGGCGACCCGAAAAGCCACTTCTAGCTTATTAGTCGTCATCAGCAGGTCATGCCCAATCTCATGTGTGGATCACTTGGGATTCGAGCTCGCGAACCTTTTGGTCATTGGGTGTAACCCTCTGTCGTTGAGTCACGGTCCCAACCAGAAAGGCTGCGGTTGGAAACTCGAACACGGCTGGTCACTTGACTCGACGCCTTGGAACCACTTCTAAGTCCTCATAGGCGCTCAGTTGTCATCTTGAGTTGTCCAAACAAAGTGAGAGTGGTGGTTGTCTGGTCATTCTTGACTGTCAAAGGGGTTTTAGATGCTGATATGCTTCCAAAGACAAAAGGGCACCGTTTGTTAGCAATTACGAGACGTGACGATTATGTTTGAAGTAGTTTAACTGAACAGGGTACATTCCATGGGCATCTGCAGCCCTGCTGACCCCCACATGCCCGCAGCTGGCAGAAATGCAGAGAAAACATGTCAGAAAAGACGATTTTGTAGAAAGACAAAAGAGGGCATTGCGATGTTGTTGGATCTTACTTGGATACAGTTTTGGGGTGGATTGACTTTGTATGCCGACCAAAGGCGGTAGCTTAGTCGCTTTCTGCTTTTATTAAAAAGGCGGAGAGGGTTCCTCATAAACATCAAAGTATTTTAAACTAAAATGGACTAACAGCAGGACTGTCTTTAGACGTCCTTTTTACCTTTGACTTATAACAATGACCTACTTTTACATTTTCAGTAACCCGACTTTCACTTTTTTTCGTTAAATCCCGCCAAAATAAAGTTGAATTTCATTCAGTTGGTATCAGTATCCTGAGCACCAGGAGTTTATTTTGATGGATTTGATTCTACTGAGTACATTAAAAAAATTATAAGTTTCTTTAATTTAATATTTTTTGATCAATTCCACCACAATTAAATGTCAATTTACACTCACTAACCAATAATTAACTGTTTGACCGCAAAACACGTTAGACGCTTGGGCGGGGGGATAGATAGTTAGGGGGCCCTACAAGACAGTTTTGCCCAACTAACTTGACTAAAAGTAATAAAACTAAAAAATAGACTAATAAATAAATTAAATTAAATGATAAGCTACAAAGAAATAAGTAGTTACTTATGTGTAGTAAAATGCGATGACTTTTTCTAAGGAACCCTTAGCAAAAAGGTCTGCCAAAGTAATACCTTAAGTGCCATTTAGTAACCATGCTTTCGGAATACAGCTGATTTCCATAAACAGTACCGTCCTGACATAATGCAAAGTTGTTTTTAGTAGTACTCGAATCAAATATACCTGCTTGTTTTTGAGGTCACGAAGGGAGGCAAAATCATCAGGAGCATCGCTGGGCACGCTTGTTACCACACCGGTTCCCTTGGCAGCGCTGACTGACAGCATCGGCAGCGTATAAATGCCCTCTTTGTACACGGACAACGGGCCCTTCAATCGTAAACCGAAAAGCTCTTCGCCTGTCAAGGTAGCCACGATGTCCAGATGACCTGGACGTGCGGGGTCCAGCAGGTCCTACAGCAGAGGGCAGACAGCTGATAGGCGTGGATACACATAAGACAAGATACATATCGAGAGGAATTGAAGTGGGGCCGAGGAGACACTGGTAGTTTTCCCGTTTTACGCTAGGTTCTGATTTACTTGAATTATACATTGATCAGACACACTGCGTTGAATTTCCGAATGGACTGTTTTTCAGAAATAAAAG